AGAAAAATACCATATGATATCACTTATATGTGGAATCTAAAAGAGAAGAAGAAGGAAGAGAAGGAGAAAAAGAGGACACGAAACAGAACTTATCTACATTACAGAAACAGATTCACAGATATAGTAAACAAAGTTATGATTATGGCAGGGAAAGGGGTGGGAAGGGATAAATTGAATTGGGAATTAGATATCTGCAAATACTAACTAGTATATATAAAATAGATAAACAACAAGTTTCTTCTGTATACAGGAAACCATATCTTATAGTAACCTATAATGAAAAAGAATATGAAAATGAATATATGTGTATATATATATATATATATATATATATATATATGTATGACTGAAACATTATGCTGTATGCTGGAAATTGACATATTGTAAACCAAGTATATTTCAATAAAAATAAAGTATATTATTGAGATAATTGGCAACATTTGAGTAAGATCTGTAGATTAGATAATGGTAGCCTATCAATGTTAATTTCCTGGTTTTTATAGTTGTGTTATGTAATTTCTTGTCTAAATATGCACTAATGTATTTAGGGTTAAAGGGCCATTATGTTCACCACTGCAACTTGACCAATTTAGAAAAAAAACTGTTACATATATGTATATATAGAGAGAGAATAAGGCAGATGATAAAATGTTAATATTTGGGAAATCCAGATGAAAGGTATGTGACAACTCTGTGCTTTTCTTGCAGCCTTTCTCTAAGTCTGAAATTATGTCAAAATAAAAGTTAAAAGGGTATCCTATTATATGGAATCTTTGAGGACCTACCTTTTCCACTTAATACTGATAAAATTCATCACAACTGTTAGGTGTCACTGGAGCTTGTAGTTTTTAAAACAACTTTATTGGGGTATAATTCACCTACAAAAAATTCACACACTTTAAAGTGTATAATTCAGTATTTTTTAGTATCATCACAGAGTTGTGCAACCATCATCATTAATTTTAGAACATTTTCCTCATCCCCAAAAGAAATGCTTGAACCTATGAGCTTTGCTCTCAATTCCCAACCTCCACCACCTCCACCCCAAGTAACCACTAAACTTTTTGTCTCTATAGACACTTCATTAATTCTTAACATTGTGTAATATTACCTTGTTTATACCAGTTTATTTATCCACTCTCCCACTGATGGGTATTTGTATTGTTTTCCAGGTTTTTACTGTTGTGAATAGTATTGAACAGTCTTGTATTTGTCTTCCCTTACACGTGTCAAAGAGTTTTTCTTAAGTACACACATAATAGTAGACTTACAGGATCATGGATATGCAAGTGTTCAAGTAAAGAAAATAATTAAAACTACTAGGAAACTATATTCCAAAGTAGTTGTGCAAATTTACACTCTCACCAGCAATAAGGGAGGCCATGGATTACTAGCTGTCCAAAATTTTTTATCAATCAATCGTTTATAAAGTTGAATAATTCTTCAAATGCTTATTGGCCATTTGTGTTCTTCTTCTGTGAAATCCCTGTTCATATCTTTTGCCTCTGTTTCTGTTGGGTTTGTGTGTGTGTGTGAGTGTGCATGTGCACTTTCCTTATTGATTTGTAAGAGCTCTTAATTTATTCTTGATATAAATCCTTTGCTAGTACTGTCTATTGTTTATATCTTCCTCCAGTTTATTACTTGTCTTTTCACTTTCTTCACTGTCCTTTTAAAAGTTGTCAATTCTAATAGTCAAATTTATTGATATTTTCTTCTATATCAAATGTTTTTAACATTTTGCTTAAGATACCTTTCCCTATTCCATGGTCAAAAAATAATCCACCAATATTTTCTACTATGAGTTTTTTTTTAACATTTAGATCTTTAATCCAACTAGAATTTTTTTATGTGTTGAAAAATATCCAATTACATCTTTTTTCATATAGGAATCCATTTTTTCCAAATTCATCTATTAAACAGTTGGTCCCTCCTTTCCTACTGCTCTCATGTGCTATCTCTGTTTTGTACTAAAGTTCTACATTGTGATGGTCTGTTTCCAGGCTTACTCTATTCCATTGGTCAACCAGTCTCTCCCCATGTCAATATCACACTATCTTAATTACTACAATTTCCAAATAAGTTCTGATACCTGGTAGGCAAGTCCCTCTCCCTTCTTCTTCAGAAATGTTTACCTATTTTTTGGTCCTTTATTCTTCCATTTAAATTTTAGTATCATTTTATCAATTTTTATGAAAAATATGGTTGGTATTTTTATTGTATCTCATTGAATCCGTAGATCAATTTGGAGAGAGTTGACATTTCACGCTATTAAATCTGCCTATCTTTGAACATGGTAGCTCTACATTTATTGGTTTTACTTAGATCCTTTTTATTACCTCCTAATAACATTTTATAGTTTTTCCTGTAGAGGTCTTAGACTACCTCTGTTAGATTTACTCCTAATTACTTGATATTCCCAGATATTATTTTACCTCAGGTATTAATAAACAAATTTTAAGAGTTGTCTTCTCCTTTATGTTGTGTATGTTTCTTATGCACCTATGGGAGTCTCTCTAGCATCATAGGATATATGCATCTTCAACTGAAAGTGCTCTGTGAATAATAACAACCAAAAACCCACACACAAATGTAAGTTAATAGTAAACATTTAAAAAATATTCAATGAAGGAATTATCACAGTTGAAAGGGTGAAATGAATTTTACCACATTTTATCACTTAGAGACTAGATCTCCCCAGTAATATCCCTCAGCACCCCCTTCTCTTTCCTAGACAATGCTAAAACTAAAACAAAATGAAAAAAAACTAGAGGTGTTCTTAAATTAATCTGACAGTGGATATGTGCACATTTTAGCTGTTCATAATAATCTGGACATTGTTATCACTGAAATTAAATAAAAAGTGATAATAAGATAGCCCAGAGGCCAGTCTGGTTCTAGCCCGAATCAAAAGGTGCTATCAGACTGGGAGAGTGTTCCTCAGCTGGTCCATAGCAGCCATGAGTACCTGTACATGTCCCAGGCCTATCCTAATCTGAACTCATACCCCGTAAATCTGGACCATAACTGGACCAGTGTCCGGGACAGGGTGCATAATGACTCATCTTCTCTTTTCTTTGCCACTGCAGGCAATGTATGCCTGGGGAATGTTGTGTGTCAGATCTAACAAAGGGGGAGAAACCAGTTTGACTTCATGCCAGCACTAGAAGTGACATGACAAAGAAGGCTGGAGCTGAACCATGCATGCACTATTGACTCTGAAATAGAAGAGAGGTTCTCCTCTAGCTTTAATGCAAAAGACAAACCCAATCACAGGTTCTAGGTTGTTTCTACAACCAGCCTGTTTTCTTTCCCTAAGTCAGCAGAGTACAGGGCAGGATCTAGAAGAGTTTCCTTGTGCTTGTTTCCCCTTGACAGGTGCTCAAAGCAATTCCCAGGGAAAACAGACCCCTTACTCCAAGAGGACCAAATCCAGCTAGCTCTTAACAGATCCATTCATTCCATGAAAAGCATGAAACTTTCAGGCAGTTTTCCAGCCTCCTCTCTGCCACAGTCAAGTCTTGGAAGTCCCCTCTGCTTTTCAGGCTCTTCCCTCACCCAGAGAGATGGCAGTGCCAGGTCCTGCCACTCCTCGAGGAGGCATTTTGTCCCATTTTAGTCAACAACACACTTTCCACAGTACCCTTTGCCCTACCAAACTCCATCTCTGGGATTGTAAAAAGAAATTGGAGCAGAGTTCCCAGAGGATGGGGACGTTAACCAGAAGGGAGTGTCTCTGTGTTCCATCTTTTCCCTAAGGGTCTGTGTTTTTTTTTCCCTTCTGACTCAACTTGTAAATTTGAGGGGAAGTTAGTAAGAAGGAGGAGTCAGTCAAAGAGAACCAAGTATGGAGTGTGAGGCCCAGGGAGATGCTGCATTCATGCCGGCAACAGGTTGTCCAACAGACTGAGAGGTTAGTGCAACCTTGGTTTAGACCTTGACTATCATTATTCAAGACTTCTAACACAGACAGAACCAAGCTATACCATTAGAATATAGTTCAGTTGTACATTAATGCATTCAGTGAGAAACCCAGAAGCTGGCCGGAAACTACTGGGTATCTATAATTATGCTGGGGTACATTTCCTGGGTATGAAAAAGGATCTTCTGGTTCCCTAAGGGGCTGGACCGAAACAGTGGGTTCTGATAGCCACTACCAGAGCATGGGCTTGTAGAACAGGAAAGAGATTTCCAAAAATGTTGGGGTGCTCCTCTGGGTAGCCAAAACTTTAAAATTGTGTCAAATGGAAAAATAAAGCCATAAAGGTACTAGAAGAAAGCATAGATTAACTTTTTTGATCTTGGAGTGAAGGATCCCTTTTAAGCCTGCGATAAAATCCAGAATTCATACAGGAAAAGGCTGATAAATATAACAGAAACAATTAATATAACCCAACCTAAAAAATCACCATAAGTCACATGAGAATTTTTTTAATATATAGAGAGCACTTACATACCAAAGTTTAAAAATTAACAGCCCCAAAGGAAAAGAGGCAAAAAAGAGAAAACATAATTAATTCACTTGTTCAATAATTATTTATTGAATGCTTAGTGTATGCATAGCATGGTTCTAGGCACTGGAAATGTAGCTTTATGGAAAAGCAACAAAAATTAAGTAAATACCAAAGGTTAATAAATATATGAAAATACTATCAACTTCACTTATAATCAAAAATATGTGTGTGTGTGTGTGTGTGTGTGTGTATACGTATGTGTGTTTTTAAATTGAAACACTTACCAAATTGGCAAAGATTAAGCTTACTACAGGCAAGGTCCAGGGGATGCAGACACCACCATCCACGAATGAAGAAGTCAAAATTGGCAGCATCCTATTAGAGCACTTTTACCTCTTACTTTAACACATCTGATTAGTTTTGAGCCTTTTTTTTTAAACAAGTGTTTATTATTATTCTTTATAATTTAAAAGGATTATATTAAAAATGAAATCATAAAATATATCTTTCCTTTCTTAAGGGCCTTAGAATGTTTCTGATTTTTACCTGTGCCGAAGTCAGAGGAAGACATTTGGTTTATCTACAGAGGCACACTCGTTTGGCTTAAGTAATCAACACTAACTGTAGCTTGGTATTTATTTTATTATTCACCCTTTCAGTCAGCAGACATTGACTGAGCTAACTGCTTTATGCCAAGCAATGTATTAATCACTGACTATTTAGTCTGATGTGGAAGACAGACTAAATAATCACAGCATAACCAGCGCAACAAAAGAAGAATACACAAAGTACTTAGGAAACCAAGAAGAGGCATCAGTTACTGTCAACAGACTTCAGAGAAGACTTTTCAGAGGAGATGATATTTAAGCCAGCTCATGAGAGAAGAGGAGACTTTCTTGCCATGGGTTTTCCACCCAATAAACAAATGGGAAATGGAAAGAACCACATCAACATCAAAGTCAGTAGAGAGGCAGATTTATATATGGCCACCATACTTGAACTACAATGTGCTGAAATTAAGAAGGGAACCACTGAGAGTTGGAGGAAGCTGCTGACATGGGAGACACGAGTCTAGAAACTAAAAGCTGAACTTAAACATGACATCATCATCAATAGCTCCCTTATGAAATTTGAGGGATCACTGGCTCCTCACAGGAAACACGATTACAGGGACATTTCTGGTTGACACTGTTGTTCTGATTATTGCTGCTGATCATGGTGAATACTAAGAATTTCAAGGAATGGGCAAACTGGTGAGCTGACAATATCAGTCTGTATTTTTCTTTTCTTATAATGTCCTTTTCAAATTTTTGTAACAGGGTAGTGTTGGTTTCACAAAATGATTTGGAAGTGTCTTCTTTATCCTATGAACTAGTTGGTGTGATTATTTTTTTAAGGCCTTGTTAGAGATGTATAGTGACATATTTACAGTGGAAATTATATGATATCTAGAATTTGTTTTAAAGTACTTCAGAAAAAGATAAAAAGAAGAGATGAAACAAGAATGATAGAATGTTGATAATTCTGCAAAGATGGTTATGGGTACCTAGGGGTTTATTATACTATTTTCTGTACTTTGAAATTTTCCATAAGAAAGGTTTTTTTTTTCAGGGAAAAAAATTCTGTCTAGTATATTTCAGCATACTCGAGTTGTAATACTGACTGATCTTAAAAACCTTAGTCTTCACTCAGCCCCCAATGATGAGACCGATCCACCCTTCCCATGGAGGAAAAGACATTAGGATTGTCAACTTGACTAATTAGCTGTGGAGGCAATGCAAGGCTTCAAACCATGTTGTTTCAGTGGAGAGTTCTTACTGGTCCTTGATCCGGGCATGTTAGAGTTTGACTCTGGCAGCTTGTCCCCAGTCCAACCTGAAATGCTACTGGGTCTGGATTATAGCCAAATTCTTTACTACATATAGGTATCAGCTTCAACAATTTCATATTTTCTTTTATGGCTATGAGGTGGCTCAGTGTGATCCATTTTGTTAATACCATCAATCAGCTGTTCTGTACTTGGTATTGTTACC